CACCCCCCCCCCCCCCCCCAGAGGTTCTGTTGGGTTTTTTCGTACCCCCATCAGAGGTTCTCTTTTCTTTTCGTACCCCTAATCATGGTGCTAGTTGAATGTTTTTTTTTATGAAACTTACTTCCAACTTTTAAAAACGTAAGAAAATAGCACACCTATTAACGGTCGCTTAATGCTTACATATCAAGGCAGTACTACTGTACTGTACTGAACCATTAATACAATTGTTTTAAAACTAAACTATTCAACATGTAGTGTGAAGTTTATTATAACTGTAGTATACTTTGAATTAAGTTCTTAAAATTGTTTCTTTTGCGGGTTTCCCATGATGTTTGGTTTTAGATTTTTACTCTGAGCTGCCTGACTCTACAATATAAAACTGTACAATACTTTCATAACTAATAAACTATGAGATACTCACTTCATTATCGGAAATATATTGGCTTTGTTTGAAATAATTCCAGTGAAGTGATTTTGCATGTGTCGAATTAAATTTTTTTGGGCGCGGCTTCGACGACTTCATGTAATGTTATTGAAATGTCACATATTGCTACTTCGGCAAAAGATCAATCTTTGGATATTTCTATTTTTCGACCTACAACATTCTTAAAATTCGGACTACAGATAACCACAAGGTACTTTTGTACTTGTTTGTAATAGATTGATCACAGCGCATCATATGCTTTCACACCATAGATATGAGATATCTATGTTTCACACTTTCCTTTGAACGATGTTCTTTGAACGATCTTCGGTATATTCTTAGTAAGTTCTTTAAATTCTGCCTATTTTAACCTTAATATTCTTATAAACGAGATTTTTGTATGCCTTAATATCTCAAGCTTTACGTCATTCCAGGCAACACCCAAGCTGAATTGAATTCAATACATGCATTTGACGTTTGAAACGAGCATTGAATTTTGCATGTAGTTTGCTCGAATCTGATGCGAATTGTATTCGACCAATGCAAAATGCGATGTTTGAACCAGGCCTATAAGGTTTGTTAAAATCCATCCTAATTAAAGTTTACTGTTAAGTAGCTTAAGACATTTGCATATACTTTATAGAGCAAGCACATGAATTTCGAGTAAAGCAATGGTTAGGAGCCACTGTCTACTCTAATGGTGATGGAAAAGTAGTCGTAAGTATACTGTGCAGTTGGGTTTTCATTATTAATCTAAGTCAATTATTTGCATTATGTTACAACTTGATGTGTCAGTGTTGCTACAAAAGCTGAAAGGTGGCTATAGAAAGATGGTCAAAAAAGTAAATGTGTTAATTTGGCTGTATGTAGCTAATCACAAGTGGAGATGCTAACAATAATTAAAAAGCTCGAAAAATAGTACACTTCAGCAATGCCAATATGTTATCAGTTGCAGGGATGGATCCAGCATGATGGATCCAGGGATGGATCCAGCTACTAGACTCTCTCCTCCGCAGAGCCTCCTTAAGTATTTACAAATAACTTACATGAAGTTTCCTGAATAAAAGTCAGCGCGCGCGGTGTGATGGGAAGATTGAAATGAAGTTGGGATGGTTGTTCCAGATTCTGAAGAATTTATTCTTCCAAATCTGCCAAGATATGTTTGGATCGTATTGATCCAGGTCAAAATCGGATAAGTAATTTTGTAGGTCGCGCAAGAATATTTGTTCGTTGAAATGTTTGTAGTCGCGGTATTCGATTATTTTTGCATTTTCTTTACAGACCTTAAATTTTCTGATGCCATAAATAAGATAGTGATCACCAATGGAAACAGTTGACACTCCCTTTGAAATAATGTTATCAGGATTTGTTGTATAAAAGTGATCAATTAATGTCCGAGTATCTTTAGTTCAATTGTTCATATTGATACAGTCCTGTAATAAATTTGAGTTCCGAAGCTTGGGGAGATAGACTTGTGGATAAGAAGTCATAATTTACATCTCCAAGGATAATACTTTCTTTATTGTCATTGTCTATTAGTTGTAAACAGTTCTCAAATCTATAAAGGGTGTCAATTGGATCGTTGGGTGGTCGATACCACGTTGTAATTAAGAACGGTTTAACGTTATGTTTACTAATTTGTATTGTAAGAATTCAATATCATGATTATTCAGGTCAGTTCGAGGTAACCTGAGTATCAGGCCCTCGAGGGCCTGATATACTCAGGTTAAGTTCGAGGTCGAAAATTTATTGAATCTCTAATGAAAAAACTGATACCACCCCCAGATCTATTTCTGTTTTTGGAAATCCAATTGTAACCTTAAATGGCTATTGACTCGATTGCATCCTGTCAACACTGCAATAAACGTCACCGCTCCTCAATTTGCGACCAATGTCAACAAAACACTGATCTGAAATACTGTAAGACTGGATAACGCATCTATAGTATATAAAAGTGAAGCCGGAAGTCACCGGCCGCCACCCGATTCTGGCCCCACTTTTGTATAGATTTGTATTACAGACAGTAGTTTTTCGCGTTTTTTGCCTTGGCTACGTTTCCGACCGGGCCAATTTTACAATCACAACGATAGAATCATACAAGAAGAATTTTGAGCAAAAAATTTGGAGTATTATGGCTTTATAACGCCACGAAACGGGATTTACAACTCTGAAGGAGTGGAGAGCCTCAGACTTTGTTTATCAACGCGAGCTCGTTTTGCTACTTTCATACAAAATCAGCTTAATAAAATATACAAGAATTACTGTTACTGGACCAATATTCTCAGGAAATTTGAAGCAATGAAGCAGCTTACATTGTGAACAAAAGCGTACTGAGGTTAGTTTTAAAATACCTTGAGGCTACTTTTATAATTATACGAATTTAATAAGGAACAGTTTTAAATGTCAATTTTGTCAAAAGCATTCCCCGACTACTTGTCGAGAAAAGTGATAATGAAATATTTTTAATCCAAATTATAAACAACGACTCGATATGTTATTTTAATTCATATAATTATGAAGTAGCCTCAAGGTATTTTAAAACTAACCTCTGTACGCTTTTGTTCACAATGTAGTTCTGTAGCTGCTTCATTTCTTCAAATTTCGTGAGAATATTCGTCCAGTATTAAATAGTAATTCTTGTTTATTTTGAGATTTTGTATGAAAGTAGCAAAACGAGCTCGCGTTGATAAACAAAGTCTGAGGCTCTCCACTCCTTCAGAGTTGTAAATCCCGTTTCGCGGCGTTATAAAGCCATAATACTCCAAATTTTTTGCTCAAAATTCTTCTTGTATGCTTCTATCGTTGTGATTGTAAAATTGGCCCGGTCGGAAACGTAGCCAAGGCAAAAAACGCGAAAAACTACCGTCTGTAATACAAATCTATACAAAAGTGGAGCCCCAGAATCGGGTGGCGGCCGGTGACTTCCGGCCTCACTTTTGTATACTGTAGATGCGTTATCCAGTCTTATTTCAGATCAGTGCAACAAAACCCCGAAGGGGAGTGCAAACTGATGACAGACGGTGTCAGCGGTGATGGTGTTTTCCCGGTAGTCGTGGTAACGGTGTAAAGTGTCAAGTGTCGTGCACTAATTGATTCTGGCGCCGGCGGGTCATATGCACTGATCAGTGGTCGTATGCCTCGGCAAAGCTGATTAAGATGATTGATAGTAAACCGATTGAATCCAGAGTACAACGTGTTGACATGCTCCTGGACTCGAAGACAACCCGGATGGAATTTTACGACACGGAAGTACGCGCCTTAGACGGAAATTTCAAAATGAACGTGAGAATGGCCAAAGCGGAAACACCAGAACTATTAACTATTGATAACCCGAACTATGAGAAGTTAATTCCTGATTATAACCACCTTGGGAACGGCGGGAGGGAGGCGTCTGTTTATATGTGCAAACTTGGGGAGGCGTCTGTTTATATGTGAAAACTTCCCTTAACTATTTAGAACGAAAAGATCTGACTAGAGATAATCTCGAAGCTATATGTGTTGAGATTCGCAAACCTTCCACTGCACCATTTATTGTCGGTACTATTTACAGACCTCCAAGTGCTTCTGTTGTCTCTTTTGCCACAATTGAGCAATTAGTAAAAACAATAGATGATGAAAATAAGGAATTTTACATACTTGGTGACTTAAATGCTAACATGCTTGGTACCTCAAACAATGCCACAAAGAATTTAAATTCAATCATGGAATTATATCAATTATCGCAAACGATAAACACACCCACCCGTGTGACCACGACCTCATCCTCCCTAATAGACGTTTGTCTTACTCCCACTCCAACTAAGTTAATAACATC